GATATTTACAATCTACCAAACGTACGTTGTCTTTAAACTGCGGCCGTGTAGTAGTTTATGGAATCTCAAACTTCTTTGTAGCTGTCACTTTGGACGAATTTCAATGACGGTTAGTTTGGGAGATTCGACAATATAGCGCTTTTTCACTGTATAGCCTTTCTCTTCATATTAAATCAGTCTGAAGGGACCACAATTTTTAATTTAAATCGATCTGCATGTATCAACATGATTTGCTACTTTTATTAGTTTCTTAGTTCGAGCTTCATGGCTATTGCGATCACTATTTTTAACGCATTGTGCGCTATTGTAACCACTTTTTCTGTCCGTACATTTGAAGATATTAAGTTCGTCCTTTTTGCAATCGGTAGCGTATAGCTCTAGCACCTGAGCCAAGGAAAATCTTGACAATTAAACTGCGCATGCGCAGACTGCACAATGGCAACTTTCTTATTTATGGAGATATGGAGATAGTTGCTTTTAGTGTAAGCAAACGTAACGCATATTGTAAACATCAGATTAATGCGGTCATGCGCAGGATGCACAATATCAAGTGTTATTTATCGATATATCTTTTTGAAATTTTAATCACAGATGCTTATGTTAAAGGCAGACACAACTGATATTGCACAAATCTGAAGTTACTTGCCTTAGGGCGAAAACCTTTTTACTTGCTTATATATCTTAATAAAGTTTCATCAAATGTCGACGTTTTAACCTCCCAAGAATAACATTTTTTCCGCCTGTATGTACGTACGTGCAATTTCCGAGGTAATGGTTCGACGCATTTTGTTCAAATTGTGAATATGTATAATGCCTAATATACCTACATGCCATCACGGTTACAGCGTTTGAAAATAAGACACACAAAACACTGTCACAGTATTGCTTGACCTGTCAAAAGCTTTTGACTGTGTCAATAACTCAATCTTGCTTAGAAAACTGAGCGACGCCTACTTATTCCATCCGATGAGCTGCTAATCCAGCTGGCAATCCCAATGCGTCAGCTACAACAACGAAATCTCGAGCCGACTACCGCTTTCTGATGGGAGTTCCTCAG